GGATAATAAATCTATTCTACTTGTACGGAAATGTCTCTATTTCTCCGTCAGAAAAATCTGCCACGAGGCATAAAGAAAAACGAGAGGGACATGTACTCGTAGGATTACGATTCCCCGTCAGATTTCGTTGTCACTGGCCAGTTTCTCTTGATTTCTCGATTTTCTTCTATGACATCTTTGCACATCAGAGTAAATATTTGATATGATTTTTCTTCTGTCTACTCATTTCAACGTGACGCGTTGAATCATCTGCGACCATCACATTCGAATCCTTATTACTTCTTCCTTATATTTTTTCTTGTTTCTCTGATAATCGCATTTCCATCACGTTTTTAATATTCTCTATCACTTTTCTGAATTTGTTAAACTTTTACAATCAATATTCTATTTTCACGTCTTTATTTATAAGAAATAATTTTTTTGTTACATTCTTTCTCTTACTTCTTTTTCTTCTCATATTTTTTTTATACTGTTTAATATCATGATTGACTTATTTGTATCTATATTTTCATTCATTCAGTGATGGCTCATTCAATTAATTTGCATAATATTATATTCATTTATATAGACATATATTCATTCATTATTTATCCAATCATTCTTTTATTCAAAGATTGTTTAGTCATTTTATTATATATAATTATTTGTTTTTAGCTTATTTATATAGTATTTATTTTCTTATTTGTTATTACACTTATTTACTATTGATTTATATATCCATTTAGATTCATTTTTTCTATTTTATTCATCTAGTTATTTATTTACTTTATTAATGATTTAATGATTTCTTTCTATTTACTCTCATTAACTTTCCTTATTAATTTATCTACAATTTCATTTCTTTAATTTATTTCATTATGATTTTATCTAGTAACTACTCTTTCATTTATTATTTATCTAAATATGTATTCACTCCTCTTCCACTTCCTTTTATTCATTCTTTTTGTCAAAACTTGATGTTCATAATCTTAAATTGTAAACGTATTCGTGTTGCAGGCGGTGCACGCGGTGAAAATACCGCCTTAACTGTTTCAAGGGTTGTAAAAGTGCGTGGGGGGATGTCGCGTGCACACATGGTACATGTATCACCACAGTGGGAACGAATTTCTTCTGTGTGTGTTTATCTTCCCTACCGTTTACTATACAATCAAATGATAAGAACAATAATCCTCGCATTTAATGCGCACAGATAACACATTCGTTGGCAAGAAGAAAAAAAATAAAAAAGAAAAGTTTTACGATTTTGTAGGATCGTATTGATAAAAAAGAATCCAGGTAATTTTCAATCCTTCTCTTTAATAATAGCTTTCTTGCTTATAATTATCATGAAATTACTTAATAGATTTTTAGTTGTGTGAAATGATTTGTATGATTTGTATGGTTTAGTTTATTCAATGATATGGTCTATTCTTTGAAAAAAATTAAAAAAAACAAATAACTAATATATAATTTAGATTATTTTTATTTATAAACAATAATTCATATTTCATAATATATATTTTTTATTTGTAATATTAATCATTTTATAAATTTTATAAGATGAAGGATAAAAGAGAAATATAACATTCATTCTCATTATTTTCATGTTTTGCAAAATTAAATAATTGTAAAATTATATTTAATTAATCATTTTTTTATGTCTAATTAAAATATGCACTTTATTTTATAAATAATACAAATAAATTTATTGCATGTTATTCATTTAATGAACTAAAATATAAAAATTTAATTTTCTTACAAAGTTGTTTTGTGATATTCCTAATCTTTTCTTTTTTTCTTTAATTACATTAAATTATTAAAATAATTTTTATATATAATTCATGCCTATTAAATCATCATACAAATAATATAATTTTTCTAATATGATTGATTCTGTTTAATTTAAAACGAAAAGAAAAAATATATGAAAAGATATAAAAGAGAATAAGAAATTTATAAGGGAAGTCCAATTTAATATTTATATTCATCAATTTCAAATTCATATTCAAAAAATATTATATATATATATTCTTTTATTAAATCGATTAATATTAATTATACACGCTTTGCATAAAATGTATAAAATATAATGAAAGCTTTTAACACGAATGAAAGCAGGAAGTTGCTGATTTAGCACGATCTTTTTTCTTTCGTTGTTTGCAAGTGTTATCTGATTACCACCGGTAAAACGCTCGTCCGTTCTCCTCGATAACATCGCGTGTATTTCGACATTGGTGGGCAGAATTACGGGGACAATTTTTGTGGGTTCAGACCTCGAAAAAAAAGTCGGTTATTGATTTATCTAAGCATTTGTTTAGTCAATCGAATTTCTCGCCTTTCTCGATCTCTTCCTTAATTTTTAAAATGGAAAAAGAAAAGATGAAAAACCTAATAAAATTATTATATTGAAATTTTAACATAAGTTCATTATCAATAATGAAAACGAATAGGTAAATGGGCAAAGATAATTAAAATTTTTTATTAAATATTTTTTCAAAGTAAAAAAATTAAATGTTCAATAAATAAAAAAAATATGTATTATATTAATTATATAATATTATTGCTTTTATTTATATTTTCACAAATATTAAAAATTACTTGAAATTTTATTCTATAATTACAAAACAATTTCTCGTATCAAATATAATAAAATGTATTACGTATTAATTTTTCTAATTACTTACTTTGATCTAATTAATCAATTATATACTTTAATTATATTTCATTGTTAATTAAGTTTCTTCCTGATATATATATTCGTGAAATATCTTTCTAGGATCGATTCTTAAAGCTAAACAAAACTAACAAAAACAAAAGTTGATATACAAAAATAACATAATAAATAATAAATGGCCAACACTTATTTATTACACACAAACAATTGAAATTTAGATGAAAAGAGAGGTTAGAAAAATAGAATCAAATAAAATCTATCTCTGTCACGCTGTCGTTTCGTTTCATTATTCGATACAAGCTTGAATTGCTTGTAACTTAATAAATAAATAACTCGATATTTTTCTACATCAACTTTTCCGTTCTCTTTTTTCTTTTTGGTCCCCTTGAAAAGACAATATATTTCACGTATATGAGGTACGATCATATTTTTATCAAAAATGCACGCCAGATGCGAAATGTACATCATCTTCACCCGAAACCATCGAACAAGGGGCTGGAACGTGTACATCAAATTTTCTCCTGAACAAGAAAGTGTCCCATGTGTCGCGATCCGGTATATGCAAAACGGTAATCGAAATTCGTGTTGCGTACTCGGTTTGGGTAACGACACTCAGGAGAGAACGACATCGAACGATAGATACTTGCGATTCGATTCGAGACGAGAGAGATTGTCTCTGAAACGATAGGGATGAGTGTTGTGGATGAGGAGGTTGTAGACCGAGATTCCGCATCGATGAAAAACGATCGGGGAATATGAAGGATTGAAGAAAAAAAAAAAATTCTGGTACGATGTTCGTCTTTCTTTTTTCTATTTTCAGTTTTAATTTATTCTTAAAAAATAAGAAACATGAAAATTAAGAAGTATAATAGATACATGTTCGATGCAGTCTGTGATAGAATTGTAACTATATTATTGATCGATGAGATAACTGATAGAATTTCATTAAAAATAAAAAAGATTTTAATTTCTTTATTCCTAATGAATTGAATATGCAATGAAAAATTGTATCCAAAATTTATAAAAATATTTAAACATTGGGGACCGATTTCACTTTCTGAAAAATCAAAATTTAAGAAGAATCTCTTAATGTAAGAATTTTTTGCCTTTATATATCTATAGAAAAAAAAAATTATTCAAAATATTAATAACAACATATTTTTGACATATTTTAAAATCAAGAAGAACAAATCGCAGAAAAACTTCTCTAAATAATTACCAAAAAAGAATAAGATGATGTGTTGGTAAAAAAATTAGAATAGGGTCGTAACTTATTTATTGATTCACCCTTGCACATCCTCGATCAACCTCCCGAAGCCACAAAGCTTTGCATCGTTTAACACGGGATACTTGGACTCGTGTGACAGTGTCTGCCAGGCTTCTTATTAGTCATAGGGCCACGATGGGTCGACGGGGGAACCCCTTGTGGACAACGTATCGAATGTAGTCTGATGCACGCCGCTTGAGGGGGCCCTGTGCGCGAAGGGGCGCGCCCCCATACTCAGGCACCCCGCTATACAATGTCCTTAGCTAGTGTTTCGCACGACGCTCACCCGTTCGCCTGATCCTCGTGCCTCGTGCTAACGAATAATTCGAACATCCTTGTTGTGTTGTTTGCCATTTTTTTGCTTTAATCGTGCTTATGGTTTTCGCGTTCAAGGATGAGGGGGGTGTTCATGAATGATGTACAGTGGGCGAGGATGGTGAGAATGTTTCGGAGATTTCGTCTGTTGAATTTCTCAATGAACGAAACTCGAGTATACGAGAAAATATTGCGGTGGAGAAATTAATTTGAATTGTTGTTGAAACGAGGATGATTCTATATTTTGAATTTTAATGTTTGGAGAAACGAGTTGATACGATTAATTGAAATTATACCATTTCGGTGGGAAAATAAGTGTTATTTATGGATACTTAGATTTGAGTGCATGAGCAAAACAAAATTGAACATTTGAATGATCTGAATAATGAATAATTTGGAAATTTATTTATCTAAAGAAATAAGTATAATTATATCCATGATATGAGAGAGAAATTATGTTTAATTATTAAAAATAGGAATAACAATATTCTCAAATTCTTTTCATTAAAGTTTGACTAATTATTCTTGTTTTTTATCCATTTTTCAAATATTAATTATATATAAATATATATATTTCTTATATTATTAACAAAAATAAATTACCAATTAAAAGCATAGTGCAATATTTTGTGGATACTTATTAAAATAATTATACTCTTCTACAAGAGAATATTCATTTCAACCTCGTTTCAAATCTAAACATTTCTCGATGAAAGGAATAAAATTAGTAAGAAAGGAGAGAAGATCCTGCAAGCCTGCCTTGACTCGATATTGGGATTTACGTCTCGGGGAAAGGATGTGAACGATAATTCGCCGCGTAGCGGCGATCATGGAATCATTTACTTGTACAGTGTTTTCCACTATCCCATTGTATGGAATAAAGTTGGAATATTTTAAACGTTTCAAGTATCGTGAATCGTGGAAGAATGAGACGTTTATCTCACACGCAATTTTATACTGGCGAACGCGTCAGGTGGCATATGATCAATGTACAGCACTATCGAATAGGATTCGCGAATATCAGGTAATTTTTCTTCCATTCTGGATGTATAAATTCTCATGATGGGAGACTTTGATATCACGTATTTTTTTGAAAGTATTTTTTTAGTTAATATTTAGAGTTGGAGTTTCCTAAAAGAGAGTTTAATGCATGATTAGTATTTGTTTGTTATAAGAGTAATAAGAATAGTAATGAAAGTAATTTTGAGACTAAAATTTGTTTTTATATTAATTTTAACTTAATGATTCAATTTTTATTTTTTAAAATCAGATGTATATGTAATATATCTTGGAAATTATCTAATATCTGTTTATTTATATTGTTTTTTAAATTTTATTCTATTAAATTTTTTTAAAATCTAATTATAAATTAGAATAATTTTGAGTTAGGTCGATTTGTAATGTATATTTAAATATTTTTTGTAATGATTCTCAAGATAATTACATAATGAATAATTTCTCCAGTCTCGTTAAATATGCTCACTTTAAATGCTTTGTTCACCCTTAAAAATTCACTCTTTTGTTCGCGTGCACACGGTCGTATTCAGCCGTCATTTACACTTGTTAGACTTAGTGACACCCTTCTGAATTCCTGAAAAATAATTACATTTACATTTTCCTAAAAACTTTGACTTATTATAATTAAAACATTTAAAATATTATAAAGTATTTTTATTTAGAACAATTGAAAATTTATAAATATCATTCAATTACATTTTAAATTGTAATAAAATTAAAAATGGTATTTTGATCAATTTATGTTGATCAAATGAGAAGACAATTCCATTAAAAATTAAGAGAACTTACTTGGATTACTAATTGTATCAATAATTTAATTAAAATTCATTTTATAGTTTAGCCAATTTAGATTGGCCACCCTCTAATAGTCTTCAAAGATCCACAAATCCCTAATGAATGAATTTACACGCAGGGTAATCGAAGAAGGTAACTGCAAATAACAGCCATGGCCCGGTAAAACGAGCGTATTAATATAATCCTATAATTCCGCCGGATGTTCCGTTTGTACGTACTTCACGGTCAGACGTTTTAGCGTCAGTATCAATTACTTTACCCTTATCAACTTGGCTAACCCTTCGAGTCTAGCAAACATCCTTTCTATCACTTTGTGTCAACATCCTCGCCGTATGAAATGCATCTATGTCTCAGGAAGTTATTGCAAAAGCTCTTATAGATTTGCATCAGCTTGCTACAGAAGGGAGAAATAATAAAATTGAGAAATTGGATTTGAAGTAAAATAAATTAAAGAGGTTTGTTATTTATGAATAAATGAGAAGTGTGAGTTTAATTTTAGATCTTAGATCTTAAAGATCTTAGATCTTAATTTTAGATCTTTGTAATTTGAAGATTCGTGACTTTAGGAAAAAAGAATATTTAAGCCAATAATTATAGACCAGATTTAAAATCTTTTTTAGAAATACATTTTATACATTAACCTCATAATCTTAATAAAGAGAATTATATTTATAAATATTAAAATTTCTTTTATATTTTACATATAATCTATTTTTCATCATTTTTAAAACATTTTGATATTCTTATTATTCTATATTTATTTGTTTACATTTTTAATAACATATAATATGTGTAGTTACATTACTTATCAAACTATCAATTTTTAATCTAAAAATTAGATTAAAATCATTATCTATTATAGTTACATTACTACTTACATAATCTACATAAAAAAATTCAACCATACAGAAATTTTTCATATTCAAAGACTTATCATATGCAATATAATATATAATGTCTATTTTACTTGTTTTTTTCATCATCAATCATCAACTGGATAGGAAATATAAATAAGAAAGAAATATCAAAAGTTAATGTCTAACTTTGACATAAGCTATGTCAAAACGACAAAGCAACTCGTGTTTCCAGCATCTTAATTCCTGACGAATAGGTTAGGTGGCATACGCAGCAGAACCTCTAAATCAGGATTAACGGGAAGATAAAGCGTGGCCATAATCCTTCGTATGGCAAACTAATGTCTCATTTGCGCATGTTGGACGTATTTTGCCCCGTTTGATATAATGTGTTTTACTCTGGTCCTAAGAGTCATTCTACTCTAGCAGTTACGCTTAATATTAATTTTGTCTTAAATTAAGAGGCTGAGAAACAAAGGGAATATGGTAATTCTCATAATGAATTAATATGAATTTGAAGATATTTTATTTTGTATAACATTTTAGAATGGTTTATAAGGATTTTAGGTATATAAAGTATTAGGTATAAAGTATAAAGATTGAAAAAAGTGAGTGATATGAATTATATGATTACACTTAGAATAAAAGTCGATATTGATATTTGTGTTTGTTAAATGAATATGAATATAATTGATCTTTGATGTTGGTTTTTTTTATTGGTTCATATAATCTTTTAATAACTGATATTTGTATATTAAAGTTTTTATCAAAATTTCCATCCTACTGTAATAGAGAATAATTTCACACGAAACTAACCTCAAACTTTTACTTACCCTTCATAAAATCAATTCTTAACATCAAGAAAATTATATTTATTTAATAATAAATATAATTATATTTATTGGAAATATATTTCTACTATTAACATAAGAAAATACAGAAAAAAAAGAAAGAAAATTTATGTAAAGAAGACGAACAGCATAACAGAAGAATCGATTTTGTCGTACACTTTCATTCTTTTTTTTTCTCACTTATACTTTTCTTTCAATGTAAAGAGAATGAGAAAGATAAAGTCAGAGAAGTACAAACCGAACAAGATGAACAATTTTCCCGAAGCCATGTCGAAGATTCGCTTTTGCAGAGGCCGCTCGAGTTTCGATGGCACGTCGTCGTCTGAATACCAAGTACTTGGCCAAGGGGACAAGGGGATGATCGTGGACGATGCTTCCAAGGGGACGTCTACTTGAGAAAAATGATCGGACGAGACGATCCAAGCCAGGAAACACGTCGCGATCCGGCAATAAAACGATTCTACAGGGACGAGTTGGTTCACCGTTAGGCTTAGTGACTTTTCGTAGTTTTCAGTGATATTGGGTTTTTATAGGTTAGACGATGGAATTTTGATGGAAAAGTTTGAATCATTTAGAAGGGAAAATAGTTTCCGAAAAATCTGTGTAGCATCGTGATTTATTCTTAAATCATGATATAGGGAATTGTTGATAATTGCTAGGGATTTTTGAATTTTCTAAAATTATATTTGAATAAAATTGTGAATATTTTATTTTATCATTTATAATTTTATTACTTTTTCATTATTGTAAGGAAATCTAATTTTATCTTGAAAATTATTATGAGTTTATCACAAAATGATAAAAACGAATCTAAGAAAAGATTTAAAAATTAATAATTAGTAAAATACATAAATATAAATATAAATTTTTAAAATTAATATTATAATTTTTCAAGTAAACATATATTTTGAATCATCTTGTACATTGTAATAGTAGCTTGCTGTATACATATATATATATATATACTGTATATATACTCCTATTTCTCGGCACAACTTAATGTCAGCAACCAATCGTACCAGTCGACAACCATGTACGTTGGGTTGCCGGGCTGCAGGTGCAGATTGTACCGCGGGTAGTTGGCTTTCTAGGCTTCCGAGAACAAAGATCCGCTTTCTATTTGTCTGAGATATTTGTCTGATGGAAACAATGTCGACCACAATGAAGCTCGATTCAGAAATGAAAGCTTGATTTCAAGACGATAGTTACCACGAGACTTGATAGAACAAAGAAAGGGGGAACTTACATTATGATGAAGAATAGGGATGCATTTAACGAAACAGTAATATTAATTTTTAGAATATAGATTATATATTGAAAATAATGAAGTTTGTCAGGTTTAATTAAAATGCATTTGTTTAAATTTGCATCTTTATTATTTCGCATTCTTTTTATAATAATTTTGAAGAAATTGCAAAGAAGTTATTTCAATGATTTTGAAATATATTATAGAAATTAACATTTTGAATAATTTTTTATCATACATATAATCAGTGATCAATTTTAATTTTCGAAATATTTGTAAAAAAGAATATATATAAGAATATATATAAATATTTCTCTTTTTTCTTTTTTTTAATGATTTTGTAAAATACACACACACACACACACACACACACACACACACACTA